ACATCTTCTGCACTTATGAACAATTTTCATTTTTCAGTGGTGATCTACACAACATGCCCAACATTTGGCAAAACAGAAATGCCGTAAAATCAGTTGGATGAATTGGTTAGAGCATTACCCATTCTTTTCTCAAGGCCAGTCATACAGGGGTCAAAATGTTCTGCCAGGAAAATGTCCTAAGAGGAATATTTTATTTTACTGTTGTCAGCACATTGGAAAGGATTTTACTCAAGTCACCTTTGTATATTTTATTCATTAGGGCATGATCCTGAGAGGTTGTAGAAACCCTGTGCTCTGAATGACTTTGTGCCATTTGAGGATGATGAGCTGAGTATTTACGAGGACATGTAGGGGACATCACAGGATTAGGCCCTTACCATGGCCATCTGTGTTCATATATTGGACTTGCTTTGCACTGAATAATGGGACAGGTTAATTCAATGAGACAACTGTCGCTAATCAAAGCGTCCTGGTAGTAGGTACAGCATGAACACTGTATCTTCTTAGTTGTATGTAATTAAAAGAAATTCTATCTTTATTTTGATATGGATTTATGTATTTAGTATTAAATACACTGGGAAGGAAACAGGAAGCAATGATCCTGTGCTGTCTTTCACAAGAAGAGTTTAATTTGTTCTTGCCTGTAGATTTTGATGCTCTATCTAGATGCTACTGAATTTAAACTGTTTATTAGTTTGTAGAAAGATTTACTGTAGCCCAGTATTTCCGAGAAAAATAAAACCTTCTGATCCTTCTTTGGGGATTTGGTAATCAAGAAGTAGAAAATTGTATTCAGGGGCTGAAGTTAATGAGAGCTCATTCTGTTCTTTATGGACCAGAGTGACCACTATTCTCTGCAGAGACAGACAAAAAGCTGACTTTTTTCCTCTGCCATCCTATGGTTTCAGCATTGAATCTGTACTGTGGATTTGAACCTGTTACACTTCAAGTGAAAAAAAAAAAAAAAAGAAAAAACACACAATGACTTGAATCTGTATTGCATTGGATTGTCCACAGAGTTGGTTGATTCAAGGAAAGATATGAAGATATGGCCCCAGCTATCTTACTGTGATGTCGTAGCACAACGTGGCATTGTGCCACCAACTGCACAATGAGAACATATTTTTTTCTGTCTAAGCATTTTTAATGCACTGCTCAGGCACCTTGTAGATAAATTTGGCATAATCAATTCCAATTTTAAAAGAGTAGAAAGCTCTTATCCCATTTTTCATTTCAAACCACTTACTGTGGTTCCTTTACCTCAGTTGTTGTCTTTCAGGAGAAATGTTGATGGGTTGTGCTCCAGGATTCATTACTGAAGAATGCCTGTGCAAAATTGATGGGTCTTGCATTATACTATCAAGGTGACTTGTTTGACTTCACTGCTTTGCTTTCCTATCCATTAGCAGAAAGTACACTTCATTAGCAAAAAATCCAGACTGCATAATTGCCGTTTCTGTCTTACTTAATGGAAAGAGTCTTGTTGCGATGCATGTTTTCAACTATGTAAAACAATCTTCATATTAAGATGCAACAAATTAAGCAGCACTTTCACAAAAGCTGTTTATGTATTTATTATTGTTACTAACAGTTATAGACTGTAAAGGTTATGGTTTGCTTTGCACTGAAAATTTTGAGAAGAGACGGAGCAGCATATAGCAAAGAAACCCAAGTAATTGAGATTTAAAGGTCCTTCTGAATTTGTAGCTTGCATGTAGTCATCAGGCTTGCAACGTTGACATACTTCAAGTTTTCTTTGCAGACCTTCTGTAGCGATTTTGACATCTCGAATTTTACAGAGGCAGTCTTTTATTGTATTTGTGTCTGTAGAACTGTTGGCTTTTCGTTTTGTCTTTCGGTTATTATGTAGGTCACTCCAAAAGTAATGCCTCCTGTTTATTTCCATGGAAACTACAAAAGATACAAAGAAAACAATACTATTCGACAGAGCAAATTTTCAACTACAGAATGCTAGTTTTCAACAAAGTCACCACCATTAGGCATGCACTTTCAGCAGCAATGAACAGGAGCCTGCATGCTGTGCTAATAAAATTCTGCACCAGCAGTGGTGACCCAAGCATTAATGAATATCACTAGGTGCAGATTTTTCTGCATAGAGAAATCCGTGCATCATATGCACATCCATATCAAACACCATTTTGTCAGACTGCCCCTCTGCTGCCATCTGTCACATGGTAACAACGTGTAATGGAATATTGGTGGGAAGGTTCAACCTCTGTTGCCATACTGCAGACATCCGTCTCTGACACTGTGGGCCAATACAATGAAATAGGAAGCATTACTTTTGGAGCAGCCCTTATATTTTGACCCTACGATCTGAGCTCAAATTTGTTGACCAGCATTCTTGTGGCTTCTTCCAATCTGAAACACTATGAGGACAGACTGCCTTCTGTACTGCCTTCTCTGTGTCAACATGCATAGCTACCAAGAGCAGCGTTGCCCCGTATGATTGTACAGAGATGTTATGTGAACTCATCTGACTCCTTATGCTCTTACTTTACCTATCAAAGTGAATGGGAGCAGGACTGACCCTTGAATTTAAGAAAATATTCTGAGGTTTTCTGGGGATTCATATTTATCTGTCAGACTTTTCCTTCCTCTTATAGCTTGAGAGTATTGCAAATGAGCAGCCCAACAATATTGCTATTCTGAGGATATTCTGATATATGTCTTCAAATAGACAAGACACCTGTGGCCATACCAACTCTGGATCACCCACCATCATTTCCTTCATGACCTTTAAAGATGTCAGATAAGACTATTTTTTTCCAGTTGCTTCATTCCACACTAGATGCAGTTTCAGGTCCCAGAAATGAAATCAGGCAGCACATTAATCAACTCTGCTACCAAGTCTCCTCAATTCTGCCTTTCCATAGTTAATTTTTTTTTTTTTTCCTGGGTAATATAACACAGATTTTAAAAGAGAGGTATATTACCCTCCAGAAATAAATGCAGCTCCAATACCAGCAGTGGAATAAGCTCATTTAGATGAAAGGAACTATTTTCTTTTGGTGGAGTGAAAAACCTTATCTGTCTCTCTTTGGATTACATTCAAGAGTTATGCCTCTGTGGTATATGAGACTGACGTTGCATGCAAGTCATCTGCTTGGTATGTTGTCAGAAAATATTTCCCTTAATAATTCTTCAGTGCATGACATTGCATGGATCACAAAAAGAAAAAGCTGCACTTCTGAAGGAAAATAAAAGTACATTGGAGTTTAAAATGTACTCAGCTAACGTATCAAACTTAATGGCTATCTCTGGAAGGGAGAGAAAAATTTTATCTGGACCACTTCTCATCTGTTCTTCAGTGATGTTACAGTGACCAGAATGCTTTACTGGCATGCTTTCGCAACGAGAAGTAGTAAAACTGTAAAAGGTGCTTGCATCACATGCCAGAATAATTTAAATAAAGTTGATTAATCTCTTGTATAATTAACACAAGGCGATCATCTCAGCATTTCTTACCTGTAGGAAACTTGGCATAATGTAAGACTGAACACATAAAAGCTGCAAGTCATCTATTATTTTTTAATTTATTTAGTGAGCCAGACAAGCAGTTCCTCAGACTTTGACTTTTAAGTGAAGTTATTTTTCTGCTTTAGTTCAGTTGTGTATAACAAACACATCACATTAAAACAACAGGAGCTGGTATAGCAAGGCTTTATTTTGTTCTAGAGAAAACAATGTTACAATGTTTTCACGTAATTGCTTTTTTTTTTTTTTTTTTTTTTTCCTGGGCTCTTTCGCTTGACTCTGGTTTCTTATTACAACGTTTTGGGTGCTGTGGCTTTGGGTTTACCAACCCCTGCTTGTCCATTTGTTTTATAGTCAGCAAGTACTGTAAGGCTTGGAAAGATTATTGTAAAAATTATAATTTGTTCCTGCTCATTAGAAATGGCTGCAGAAGAAGTTAGCAGTAAATGTCTTCTTTTCCAGCTTTTATTACAGAAGCCCAAAGGGCTGCAGTGCTTCAAGTTGCTCAGCGTTTAGGTCCAGAAAGTATGACTTTGGCTGGGCTAGGCTGAGGACTGGTCATATAAGGTGGTTTCAGACAAGTAAGTGCTGCAGAAAAATTGTGTGTAACAGCTGCATCTGAGGTTTTTTTTCCAACTTTTTTTTTTCCCAACTTTTTTTTTTTTTTTTTTTTAATGTATTGTCATAATTAATGGAGAATGCAAAGTAAATAGTTTTTCCAGATTGCTGATCCATGCTCTGTTAATGATGTGTTTAATTCAGAACAGGACTGCGTGCCACGGCAGCCACCACCTCCCAGTGCCACTGTACTGTTTGGTCATAAAGTCACTGCCATCATTTTTCGTTCTGCGTTCATATGGACTAGTATATCACCTATGGTCCATAAGCCAGATGTCAAGCTTGGTTGCATATAGCTTGAGGAAACTGATAGCAAACATTAGTATCTTGAGAAGGTCAAGCCATTAGAATTATTTATGTATGAATTTAGACCACTGCCATGAATAATCCGGTGTATAAGTAAACTAAAAATTGATGAAATAATCAAAATTCTTCTACTGAAGTAAATGAAAAGTCATCCCAAATGAATGTGAAGTATCAAAAATGTGTTAGACCCTTACAGCTTACTGGCAAGAAAAGCCCCTACTGTTTTTGCCTGCTGTATGCTGCTCAAGTAAGGAATGAGCAGTGGAGTACACCCCACAAGATCTCTCAAATGCTTTTCTTTGAACAGTTATGTCTGAAGATAGCAGGAAGCTTTTTTTTTTTTATAGGGCCTTAATCTTCAGGTGTGAATTACAGAAACAGAGGGTTTATCACTTCATGTGAAACCTTCGGTTCAATCCTACAGGTGAGGCAGTAGGCTTGATACTTACTTAAAATGTCCTACTAAAAATAACTAGCACACAGCATTAGAAATCTGCATTCATTTTTAAAAAAATTTATTTAGCTTTAAATTTTAAACTCAATTAATGAATTAAGTGAATTAAAACAATTTACCCCATATAATTTAGAAGCCGAGTTTTACACTTTAATAAAAGCATAAGAGCATATAATGGAATAGAGACATAATATTCTCAAGGTTACTGTTACTTGAATCCATTAAACCATGTATTTATTTTTCCTATTCAAAAGATATTAATTGTTTACTTATAAGGAAGGATGAAATGCAGAGAGAAAACTTACTGTGTACACCAACTGGACTGTTGGTCCAGTACTTCAATCCTGATTACATCACATTACAATGGTAAAAGGAAATGCTGAAGGGGAAAAACTACACACTGTATTTACATGGGTTGTGAAAAGTTACAAAGCTTTTTTTATTCTCCTAGTTATATGAAAGAAACTGTGAATTAACTTGATGTCTGCTTGGAAGAACGAATTCAGAAACACAACATCTAACAAGGACCAAAAGCCCTGGAATACATTCCTTAGAGCTTCTCAGCCTGTACAAAAAGATGGCTTAAGATCTATAGTTTTAAAAGTAAATATTTACTTTTAAATCAGAAGATGCTAGGCTGCTAGGAGCTCTTTGATTATTGAGAATTCCACTAGGTAGCTTCATTAATTTGATTTGCTTGAAAAATGACACACTGGTGTCCTGAACTGTCAGGTGTGGACTGTTACTCACTTATTCAAGTGAACAAATGTAATGAAACTGTTAATGAAAACGAGTTTGTACATCCACCTTCATTCAGCTGGCCATCACGTTCATACTTCAGAGGTAGTTCTCCATGCCCAGCCCTTTTATTCTAACACGTCTTCAGCAACTGTATTTTTCTTTCTTCAAAACATATTTCATTCAGTTTTATTTAGTCGAGCGTACTGTACTCTGTCGACTGCAATTTGAATGGTACCCTGTGAGCATGTGTAGTAAGTCTTAACAGTTGACAAGGTGCAGAAGATTGTAGTGGTACTTTAGCAACAGTTGCATTATGCACAATTATGGCTTACAACTTACTGTAGTGACTGGAGAGGACATTATTAACTCCAGCGTGACCCACACTTTAGTTCTTATGAGATTAGCAGTTGCTGTTCACTCACTAAAAGGCACCAAAGACAGCCTTGTTTGACACCCCTGCCCATTGTTCTGCAAGCAGCACTGAATAAATGATGGTCTGACAGAATTTCCCTGCATCTTTCCCTGGCTTCTCTTCATATTTTCTATTTTTCAAAAGCTAATGCAGGAAATGTAATTAGAGCATATAATGATGGTTACAACAGCCCCAGAAACACGAGATTGATTCCCATGATGGCTGAAAAACACTCCATGCAGTATGTATAAACAGGCCCAATTTCAGAGTTCTAATTAACTTTATTAATGTTTAGTGCAGAAAGTAAGAAGGCAACTTAAACAAGGATATAAAAAGCACTGAAGCACTGAAACACTGGTTTCATAACTGACTCTTATTGAAAGACATGTTTTTCAGTGTTTTGTAAAGAAAAATAGAGTAATTTAGAAGAAAGATATTAGATACCTAATACACTCTAATAATGAGGAAGTTTTAAATAATGGAGCAAAGATACTAATAGTAACTTCCTACTTGGTAACATAGGTAGCAATTCTTTATGACGTGCAATTAATAAATATGATAGCCAACATGTAACAGTGTACAACGACAGTGCGATAAAAGAGATGCAATTATGTGCAAGTTTCCTATTGTGCCAGCAAATAAGACTTTATGGGCTACTGGAAAATGAGTTTGTGAAAAACCAATTGTAGAAACTTTTCCATTATATGTTCCTTTTGTAGAAACATATTAACTCTCGTGTGAAAAGATTAAAAAATGACATTGGTAAATAACTGTGGAGAAAGACCTTTTGCCCACTACAGATACGATTGCAAAACACTGCATTCACAGAAATTAGATATATATTATCTTGATATAATTGGCATAACTAAGATTAAGAGGAGCAATATATTATTCACACATAAAGTATATAATCTGCATAGATTTTTCTGTTTACTGTCCATGGATTTCCATTTTGTAAAAGCATATCAAGCAAACTTTGGAGCTCTTCAATGAACTCAAACTAGAACATGTCTGAAAAACTTATGTGATACACATTTCCCATTACTATAGTTGCAAATGTTGCTGTAATAACACCTTTTAGGTACTAATGTCTCTTCAGAACAGAAATTGCAGTGGAAAACATAAGACTACTTTTCTTGCATTCCCTTATTCCCAGGCATGGTGATCTAACAATATTTATGAGATACACCTATTTTGAGAAGTTCTCAAAACATATGGTCAGCAGTTTGTTGAATAAAATGATTGTGACTTGGAATAATGTATTACTTGTTTCTGCTGATATTTTTTTTTTGTAGTCTCAGTACATAAAGGCATAACAAAAAATCTTTTTAATGAGAAGAAAAACAAGTCTGGTGCTGTGGAGTTTGGAAGTAGAGTATTAATACATAGAGAAGTTTGGAATTCAGAAGTACATAATGTCAATAATGGAAAATTAGTGTATCTTTTCAAGCTATCTGTTATAGTTTGTTTTAAAGCTTTGATTTAATCCTTTATATTCTATAGTGCTCGCAGCCTTGCCAGGAGAGCTTCTACCTCTGGAATGGTTTCTCCCTTAGAAGGAGACCCGTTACGCTCTGTTTTCCTTTCTTTGTTGCCTTCTCCATTATAGGCTTCCTTTCTCCCAGCAGCCTTGTTCCATGCCATACAACTTGTTTCCACATCATAAGTAACCTCTTTGGTGACCGGGCTTCTTGTCGAGTTTAAGCTGATATTGTGGCGCGAACACGACTTCTCTAGTTGTGCTTTCTGGTTCTCTGTGAAAGATAAAACAAATGAATTTCATCTCAGTATAAAATCCTCAGTTTCAATATTCTGTAATTTAAAAACATCTCTTGATGAGACAAAATTTTACATGCAGATGACACATTAAAAAGACTAATGATATTCAAAGAGTCAAGAACAATGTCAAGAAGAAAAGAGTGGCAGGCCTGGTCTCCTGGAAGTGATGCAGACTTTACACAACTTTATTAGATTAGCATCCATATTTCCCATAAAATCAAGAACAGAGACTGACAGGATCCTTCTTTCTCACTTGAGTCAAAGAGAAGACACTACTCAGCACTTCACAATGGCTTCCAAACTTCTATCTGGTTAATTAAATTTCCTACATATTTTTTAATCGATCAGATTTTGAAATATAAAAAAATCTACTTCCGTTGTAACAATTCTTATTTATTATTTAGGCAGCTAGGCAATTTTAAGAATCTGCTACTTTTTGCTAAATATCATTGGTATTAACTGTCAGAGGAGGCTGCGCTTGGTTCAGATTAAGCTTTGTTGGCTGACGTGTATTAACAGACAGATTTCCTCCCTGCACGCAGCTCCAGAATATGAAGAGTCCCTCTCATAGATCTCAAACTTTTTAAAAACAGGCATACTCAATATTCATGTAACCTTGAACAAGGCTTGAAAATGGCTTCAGCAAACTTGACATGACATTTAAAGTTTTTTTGGTTATTCTCTGAAAGATGTTCCATCATCCCAATAGTAATGACTTTGGAGCACAGGCAGTCACTCATGACAGTGTGTTTTATGTGAGAGCTGAAAATTCCTACCAAAAACAGCTTGTACATTAAAAGGCAGCTGCTGAAGATATTTACTGCACTGTCATTCCCTGACCAGAGGCATCCTAGTGATGGATGAGGATTTTACACACTTTCTTGGACAATCTCAGCAAATTTTACAGGCACAATCACCTTTTGGAAAGTGGAGGAAAATAAATGCCTTTCTATCATCTTCTAGAGCAGATAAATAATTCTTAATTAAATTTTGATAATAGCTGATTTTTTTTCACTTAGCTGAAAAACTAAGTGAAATTAATAGAAAACTAATTTTTATATTGTATTATGGAAAATAATTTGCCCCTGAAGATGCAATAACGTACATTTCAGATTTCCTGTATCACAGAAGGCCAAAGATTGGAGATGAACACATCTTCATAATTACACATAATAAACCCATCATATAAATTAAAATATCTCATTCTCCTTCAATGTTTACTTTTATTAATTCTGATCACATATTTGCAAGCTGAGAAAAGCATGCCACCTATGTCAATACACAAAATTTAAGCTTCATTGTAGCTGCTTTTGATTAGATTGTGTAAAAAGAGTGAGGGAAAAATAAGTGTTTTGAAAATCAATACCGATTTTAAATCAATAATGATTTTAAAATCAAAATTTTAAAGCAAAAGATAAAATGCCAGAATCAAAGAGTAGGTGCAGATGTGTACTAACACTCCAGTTCCAACTACTTTGCAGTTCACTGAAATCCTTACCCCGAAATAGTCAAGCCCAAGTATGAAGAACTATACTCTGTAAAAGACATAGTGAACACTAATGCACTGAGGCTTTAACATTTTCCCCATCTTCTCATACTACGACTTAAATAACTTATAAAAGCAACAAGTCTAAGCAAGAAACTGCTTCAAGTTAACTGCTAAGACACAGTAGATGTTGGAATCAATCTACAGTGTCATCCCACTCCGAAACTCCAATTTAGAATTGCGGAAAGATGTCTCTCATAACTTGCTACTTACAACCTGGAATTCTTGTGTAAATAACTGAATAAAGTTGAGCATAATTTGTTTTCTTTTTTTTTTTTTTCCTTTTTTTTTTTCTTCTTCTTTTTTTTTTCCCCTTAAAACAGTAGCAATGGCATTGATAATCATGACTTTCTCGGCATATACTAGTAAACAGAGGGCTAGAGCACCTCCTCTGTGAAGATAGGCTCAGGGAGCTGGGATTATTCAACCTGGAGAAGAGAAGGCTGTGAGGAGACCTCACTGTAGCCTTCCCGTATTTGAAGGGGGATTATAAAAAAGATGGGAATCAACTTTTTATAATGGTAGATAGTTATGGGACAAGGGAGAATGGTTTTAAGGTCAAGGAGGGAAGGTTTAGATTGGATGTCAGGGAGAAGTTCTTCAAGAGAGAGTGGTGAGGTGGTGGAACAGGCTGACCAGAGAGGTTGCGGATGCTTCCTCCCAGAGACATTCAAGGCCAGGTTGGATGGGGCCCTGGGCAACCTGATCTAGTACCAGATCTGGAGGTTGGTGGCCCTGCCTGTAGCAGAGGAGTTGAAACTTCATGATCCTTGGGGTCACTTTCAACCCAAGCCATTCTATGATTCTATGAACAAAGTCAACTTGTAAGACCAGAGACCTTCCCTTCCTGCAAAAATAGGGAATGGCATTAGGAAGTGCCTTGTTGTGCAGGGAAGAAGCCACAATTCCTTGAAACAATCACATAGTCATGTCCTTAATACATGGTGCTCAATTCTAGTGATTAACACACTTTCTAAGAAATCAGGACATTTTTGCTTCAGTCATTTACATATGCTATCTGAATCCAGTTCAATCATCTTAAAGTTTCTTCAGATGCTTCCTAAATCAGGTGGCACCTTGTATGTTCTTTCATTTAAGGAAGGTTTTCTATATGCCTAGGTGCATGCTCAGTATTAGCAGATTTGGCTGTAGGCAATTACCAGCACAATAAACTGGCTGTAAGGAATCCTATTCAGAAACACTGAACTTTGCTGCTGGACCTGGTTCAGAAAGCACACGTGCTTACTTGTAGTCCTAGATTTCACTTTGGTAAATATGTATCCAGAGAACTATTATTTTTATCAGAGTGAAGGATCACTGCTGTTCAAGTAGAAGTTTAAAACTAGTTAGATATTAGCAAAAATAAAAGGAGAAACACACTAATTCCTTAGAAATAATTTCTACTTTGCCAGTATTTTATTTAAATAAAGCAGTAATTAGTGTCAATCCCAAACTCTGCAACAACCTGTACTGCTTCACACATTGATTCAAAGCTTTCATGCTTTGGTGATTTGGTATCTCATCCACTCCACAGTCTATTTATAATCAGGAAAAGCCCCATGTCCAAATTTGCTGACAAATTAAGCACAAGAATCAATAATCATTACTATATTCCTATTAGAAACTGGAATGCTTTGAACCATCAGAGTAGGGAAGTTCTGGAATACACATATAATGAAGAGAAAAAAAAAAAACCAACACGATCAGTTATGAGGTGCAATTAAATCTGTTCCTGAAAAGATATTTCATATGGCTGTCTGCAGTAGCTAGAAAGTGGCTAAGGGACGATGGACCAGTTTCAATATTTTCCTTTCTATAGCAATCTACAGGAGATCCATAAACCAGTCAGAATTAATAGGCTTTTTTAAAACTACTTTGAACCGTTACACCATGGTCATTTATTAATTTAGTTTGTGCTTTTATCTGAAACCAAAACTATACGTGAAACTATATTTGAAAACTCCATTTGAGACAGTGTACAGAATAAAATAAATGCATTTACACACTAAACATCTTGTTTCAAATAAAATGTGAATTGAAAAGAATAATATCAAAAGCAGTTAAAAGGAAACTACTCATGGAGAAGCACATCTACATGAAGTCTTGTGAATAAAAAAGCTTACATTGATGAAGATGCACTACTTGTCCACCTACTGTAGCAAGCTTTACCTTCATGCAGCAGCAAGACAAAAAAGAAATCAGACATTAAAAATCACTGATTAGAGACAGAAGTTATTAATTAGCTGTATACATTGGAAGTAGTTATGGTCCTGATGTTTCTAATATTTGGCCACTCTGAGAAATCAATAACCATCACTCACACATGTCAATAATCACTATGAAGATGAAAATTAAAACAACAACAACAAAAAACTTTGATTTCACAATTAAGGTTTCTAAAGACTATAGTGAGAAAACATTTGCCCATAATATTTTTGACTTTACCACTGCTGAATGCTTTGAGACTCAGGTAAGATAGAGATCGCGTTGTAAACTACTGAAGTCTAAGTGTTCAGATCTTATCTTATTGTAGATCCTTGGCATCTTCAGACCTATTAAAATTCAGTTTTTCCAGATGTGAATTCCTTGAACACTGCTGTTAATCAAAAACATTTCAAAATTGTATTCATGTAACCTGGGGCCAAATAGCTACTATCATCTAGAGATAAGTCTTCTAAAATTACTTTTATTAATGGCAATGTTCAGGAAGTATAGGCAGCTCTGCATAAATGTGTGCAAGAACTTCTTCAGAGTAAGGGTGACGGAGCACTGGAACAGGCTGCCCTAAGAGGTCGTAGAGCCTACTTCTCTGGAGATGTTCAAATCCTGCCTGGATGCCTACCTGTGCAACCTGGTGTAGGAAGCCTGCTTTGGCAGGGGGGTTGGACTCGATGATCTCTAGAGATCCCTTCCAACCCCTACAATTATATGATTGTGATTGAAAATTGTGCTTAATAGCTTTCCTTAGTTTAAATTGTGTCCTAGCATAGAATAACTTATAATCTATTAAAGGCTACACACTTTATATTCAGAAAAAATTGAAATTGTGCAATAGTATGTGAACAAAAAAGTCCTCAATGTGAGACTTGCCTGCTGTGAACCTGGGGAAACAAAATACGATCAGTTGGAGATTTTTAAATCCTGCCTAATGCTGTTATATATTACCTTTAATGGTGAACAAAAATGATTTCAAGAGACTTACTGAAGTTGAGACACAGATTTTTCTAAAGCCGGTAATAAATATTTTAAATAAAAATGTACTTTGAAAAGCTTTATTTCATTGCATAGTCTCTCAATAAAAGTCTTGGTACTAAGGACATATTTAGTTTTTATGTAAATACTTGTACACTGATTGGAAAATAAAGCTGTAAATACAATAAAGAGAAAGACATTACATGGCATTATAAGCTTGTATTACAGTCATACATC